CATTGCGGTATTCTCGTGTTATTTTTATTAACTTTTTATTAAAGTGTTATTGTTGGGTTATTGTGATATTATTATGGTTTTATTATTGTGATATTGTACTGTTTAAGAGAGTTTTATTGTTGCGGCTTTATGGGTTTATTATCGTGTGATTATGGTGTTATTGTCTTTGTTGTTTTAGTAGACGCACTTATCTTACTATTGGCTTATTTGTTTTTCTATAACTTAAATCATTCAATGCAGGAAAGGAGGAAGATGGGCGAACAAGCAAAGTACTGTTCGTTGAGATGGAGAAATGTTGATGGAAAGTTTCGAGTTTTCTCGGAGGCAATGAGATGGAGTTATTTTGTGATTCATATAATCTTGATCGATAAACAGTAGAAAAATCAGTCGCATCAATGATCAAAGGTTGATGGAGAGGAAGTTTTAGGTTGTTCGCACATTTAAAGTTGATTGAGTTATATAATCTGATATCAACGCTGAAGATGTGATTTGTATCAAGTAAGTCGTAATGGGTTTGTTAATATGTGGGAACAGAAGAAAATGTAATTGTCAGTTTTCATGTTCTGGACTTCTCAAGTCTGATGTAAATGGTGTTCCGTCAGGTGAATCAGTTGGAACACCATTCACATGAGACTTAAGAAGCGCAGAACAACATAACTTGCAATAACATTTTATTCTGTTTCCACATTTTAGCTAACCCATTACGAATTACTTGATACATATCACATCATCACCATTGTCATAAGATTATATAACTCGGTCAATTTTAGATGTGCGAAGAGTCTGAAACTTCCTCTCAATCAACCTTTGACCATAGATTGGCATAGATTGGAATGATTTTTTGACTCAAGAATAAAAACTACATGCCAACGCCCTGGCCCTCCCTTCGCCGCATACTATGTATTATACGGTGGTTGTTGTTATATCATCGTTATGTTCATTCGACATGTTGTAATATTGTGGTATTATTAGTGATTTATTGGAGTATTATTTATCTATTATTTCTTATGTAGTATATTGTTTTATTGCGGAGTGATTGGCATATTATTAACTTATCTGTTTATCAATAACGCAGTGATGTATTATTATGATTGTATTGTGGTATTATTCGAGTCTTATTGTGGTGGTATTAATGAGATTACTTCCGACGTAAATTTTTTGGTGCCCTACAGTGTTACCGTGGTTTTAATGTTGCTTTATTATGTTTTAATTTAGTGGAGTATCAGTATAGTTGTATTATGGTAACATCTGAGGGTTCTTTGAAATTTTATTAATTTTATATCACGTGAGACTCGGCTGTACTCCCACCCGATAGTTACCTAATTAATTGAAAGAACAGAATACGAAACGTCTATCGAAAAAGAACTCCGGAGCAAAATCGATAGACGCACGACCACTTTTGCCATTCGTCATTTGTTTAGGGTTTCGAGTCTTCGTTCGTTCGCCGGTCGAAGTACATTCCTCAGTTCACCGCTAGAGTACAGTTGATCAAGATGGAAGCCGAGCCTTCTGAGATGGAAATCGAAGAGAACCCGACGACAGTCAAAGCCGAGGAGCCATTGCCAATGGAAACCGAAGATGAGCCTTCAAGAATGCAGTCGAAGAAAAAAACCAATGATCGTAAGAAGAAGGTTGCTGAAGAGGGTTCCACAAGGTATATTTTGTTTTTTTATTTTTTCTTCTTCTTCTAAATATATTTATTATTCGAAATGAAATTCTAAACAATACCGTGATAAAATGCAGTTATTTAATTAGGATAGAGTTTATTAGGATTTCTCGGTTATTTTTCCATATTCTAAAACTATGGTTCTTCCAGTTAATACTGATTATTGCAGTGATAAAATGCAGTTACTTTAAAAAAAATATTAAAAGCACAATAATATCATAATACTACCATAATAACACAACAATACAATCACACCGAAAACCTCATTCGTACGTTCCGTTTGAGCAGCTTTTTTACGGCTTCGCAGCACCGAATCGCGAAAATCCACAAAAGCGGGCCGCGATATCCATCCCGCGGTCCCAGCTTTCGCCTCGTCAAAAAAATTTTTTACCCTCGGCGCAAAGAATCCTCTCCCGCGCGCGTTCTTCTTCCCTCCCGCAGACCAAACCCTCCCGCGCGCGTTCTTCTTCCTCCTCGACACCAGGACTGAAGCCTCTGCGAGCGTTCTTCTTCCTCGACACAAGGACCGATCGCGCACGTTCTTCTTCCTCAGTGCGAGCGTTCCTCTTCCTAGACACCAGGACCGAACCCTTCCGATCTTCTTCTTTCGTTCTTCTTCCTCCTAGACACCAGGACCAAATCCTGTGGGCAAGCATAAAATTCAAAGGTATTTCCTCGTACGATATCTGCTTCTTTCCATCCACCGCAAGGAACGAAACTTCTCATTCGACCTCCTTCGATCCCAGAAGTTAATCAACAGAAACGAAGGGAAAAAGACCTCCTTGATCCTCTGCAAAAAATCCGCCTAGGTTTTCTGCCTTGAAGCGAGACAACAACCCCATACCCGTCTTAAAGAATCAAGAAATGAGAGGCAAAAGAGACAAATCAGGAGGCCTTGGCCGAGCCCTTGTTCGGATGCACAACCAGATGGTGAAACAATCGAAGGAAAAGAGCCACTCTCTTCATCTTCATTTGTATGTGGGACTTTCTCTGTTTATCGTTTCAGTTTTGTCATCAAAATCTTTACTTTGTACTGTCAGGGTTTCGGGAGCGTGTAATTGATGCTTAATCTTGTGGCTTTGGGGCAGAGATGGGAGCAGAGTGACAACCGAGGAGAGGAGGCGGCTTCAGAAAGAGGAAGAGGCATTGTACGCTAGTAGTCTCCGAGTGCCCCGAAGGTTTTTGAATCTGTTTCTAATATAATTTTTTTACGGAGATTTACATACACACCAATCAATTATTTTCTATTTAGAAAACAAATGAGAATTGTGTGGTATCTTTGTAAATGTTCCATTTTTTAAACTTATTCATGTAGATGTTGATGTTTATATGTTATTATTGGGACTGCTGTGCAGGCCACCTTGGAATTCTAGGATGTCTGCGGAAGAACTTGATGTTAAAGAAAGGCAGGCTTTTTTAGTTTGGAGAAGAAGTTTGGCAAGGTTAGGGTTATTGAGCTGCAAAAATTTTAAAGTCTGTAAATTTTATTTTTCCATGTTAGGTATTTTTTCTGCATGCTGATATTTGCTTTTATATTAGTTTATGCATCCCTTGCAATGAGCTTATTGAGCATATAAAGTTGATTAAAATATTGGAATGGGAAATTGTATAATTTTTTTTTGTTTTGGAAGATTTACATACATACTATTTAATTACCATGTATTTATATATTTAACATCTAAACTTTAATTTTTACATGCCAATCATGTTTTATGTTAAGTAAAAACATTAATAATAAAAAATAAAAATAATAAATAAAAAACAAAAATCAAAAGTGATCCCAAAGGGCCTCTTAAGGGCTTATGTAAGGAAATGCATGCCATAAGTTAACATTGATAGTGCTACACATTTGGCCTTTTGAAGGAAATAACATATTGAACCAATGCAAAGTAGTTGAAAAATTCTTGTTTTATGGCTCATGAAGGTATTCAACATTTAAAGTATAAGTACTCTGAGGAGGGAGATATATTACTTCTACTAAAAGGGTTATGTTTTATGCTCAGGGGTGCTTGGTTTGGCAAAAACTTCATTTAAAATATTTTCATGTAGAATCAATATTGTTTTTTGGAGGGCTTAAGTGTTTTTTTTTTGGTTAGCGAACATATTTACTTATTTGAAGAATTATGACGTCCTTTGACTTCTAATTGTAGAGGAATCTTGTTTCCGTGGTATGTGAAAGGTTTTCAAAACACAATGAGTGTTTAAGATATGAAAATGGTTTACTTATTTTGAAGCATCATATAACCTTGCTATGATGAATCATGAGCTTATGTTAGCTTCAAAGCCTCTCAATAAGACCTTTCATGAGTTTTGAAAGTGTGCGCGTGCAAATCATTGCAGATTAATATTTGTGCTCATGTATTAATGTTTTTCTTTTTGCATTGCTCCATTGCCTTATGGAATTTCTTTGCATTCTTATTTGGAAATCTTAATTAGATGTGAGATATTGTGGTGAATAAGAGACTTTTATTTTATGAGACGTATAAACTTTCAAATTTATATTTTAAAGCCATTTCCTGATACGAGATATCACATACCAGACTTCGCACGTGCAAGTAACGTCACACACAGAGCAGACATATATGCATGCAAACTTTTTCTTCCCCTTCATATACTTATATACATAATAGCTGATTTCTCAATTGTTTAGGTCGTTTGGACGCTGTTCTTCATGTCTCAAATAGTTGGCCTATGCACATATTAGGATAAATATGCTTGTTATTTTTTTCAATTCAGTTACCTATGATGGCTAATAATTATTGGTTGGATAACAGTGCTGAAGTTTTTTTTTTTTTTTTGCTGCTGCCCTCTCTTTTGTTGCGGTAGGGAATGCAATTATGTAGATTTTTTTATGGTTGTTAGACGGGTTTCTGAGAAACATAACTTATGTATGTTGCTGCTGCTTTTCCTATAAATTTTAAGCAAGACATTAGTATGCTTTTCTTTCTCCTTACCTATTAACTCCAGTATTAGTGTTGAAGAAAGGAGCTTTAATCAGTGAATGCAGGTGTTTTCATTGGTATAACATAGCTTTATGAATCGTCTTTTCACTATATCTTAGATTTGTGTACATGTTATGGAAATATGAGATTGAGGGTAATGCTTATCAGGGAAATTTACTTTCATACCATTCATTTCTTACTTACATATCTAATACATTAACTTTAGCATTTTTTTTTTAAATATGTACCACTCCATTCTTATATGCTTAAATTTATAAAATCTAGATTGCAGCATTTACATATGTACCACCCAATTCTTACATGTTTGCATTTCTAAATTGCAGATTTACATACAAATATTGGAGATTGGATTGACCCACAAATGTAACAGGTTACACTACATGTGTTCCATTTATGTGGCTTCTCAGCTCCTAAATTGTTCCATTTATGTGGCTGGAGAATCACATATTGGAGATTGCTTTCTCTTTGCTAGAAATTAAGATTCATAATCATGGATTTCAACGAGCTTGTGATAGACCAGCTGTGTTGGACGTATTGCTGCTGGTTTTGTCTAAGAGATGCGTCTTTTGGCAGATAAAATGAAGAGAAATTTCTAGATTTGAAATTATTCTTCCAAATCGTGATTTTGATAAATTTGATTTTTTTTTGGTCCAGTATTATCTTTTCTGATGATCTTACAATGGGGATTTATGTTATGAGCTATTCCCCTCAGCTGCTGAAACTTTTGCAGCCTGAACTGGGGCTGTAACTTATGGGGATTTATGTAATGAGTCATTCCCTTCAACTGATACTTACTGTATCTTTCAAAAACTTGAGACATCTTCGATACGAGTTGCAAATATATCCTTCTTACTCATTACATGCATGCCATCAGCTCTTGCTATTGTTTATTCATCAACCCAGCCCTTTATTCTGTTAATTTTGATATTTATATGGGAATTTGAGAAGGGAAGCAGATTGTGTTGCTTTATACCTTCAGGTCTAACCTTGTTCCATTTATAAATGAACTCTCTTTTGTTTAACACATAAATTACATAAATCTTGCATACTGCATCCCTTTATAAATAAAAAGAAAGATTTACATACATATAGCCCTCAAATTGACCAATATGCTTGTTATTGCAGGTTTTTGAGGGCCTGAACTTGCATAACTGCTCAAATTGTGTTGAGCAGTTATTGTGGTAATTGCTCTTCCACGATCTTTTGAATGTATCAATTCCGTGTTCTCCCATTTTATCGGAAAGCTTTCATCTGATCCAAGAGAAGGAAGCGAGACTTAAATGAGAAGGATTTACACATATATACCAAATAATTCTTATGCATTTACATTCAGAACAACATACATTATGAGGCATTATCTAATTGTTAAATTGATAATTATGCGGATTTACACATATATACCAAATAATTCTCATGCATTTACACACCAAATATTTCTTATAATTCTTATTTATAAGAATTGAATGATATGTATGTACATTTTCCAATGTTTTTAGTATTAAATTGTCTACATGCTTATTTTTAGAATCCTTCAAGCTTGAGCTGCTCTATATTAACATTGCATGACAAGGTTTATGTGTTTCCATCATTGGTTGCATTTTTTGCAGTATTCTGCTAATGATTTATTTTCTGCTCATGATAATTGGTTGCAATTTTTGCAAATCTAACATCTGAACTTTAGTTTCTACATATATGTCACTTGAGAAGACATATTTCACTTTTTAAAAGTTAAAATTTTGATGTGATATGAAATATGTGGGTTGTAGAAAGGTGAAATGAAAATTTTAGGTGTAAAAACGGAAATTCATAATTCTTATTCGACAGGACATGCTTCTTATTGCTGCCCCAGGAATTATTTATCTGTAGTTGATGTGCTGTATCTTTGGGAGCTATGCAAATATTCGTAAAACTTCAAAGTTTATGTGTTAGATATTTAAATACATAAGATTGTGTTGCATATGGGTCTTTTTTTCAGTTTATGTGTTAGATATGTAAATACAAAGTTCTTATTCATAAACAGATGGTTGTTATACTATTTTTTTAAACAATTTTACCAAACAGAGGTAGTATGGTCTTTTTTTCATAAACAGCTGCCCGAAAACTATTTTTACACGTTGCATCAAACAGAAAACCAGCTTCCCCGCAGCAGCTTGCTGGGGTAGCACAGCTGCCTCACAGCTGCTTCCTGGGGCAGCGCGGCTGCAGCTGAAAAACTGAGAAGCTGCAGTTGCGCCAAACAGAGCCTAATAATATCACCGAGATATAACCACAATATTACCTTAAAAGTACCGTAGTACTACAAGAATAATACCATCAAAATATTACCATAATAATACCATGATAACACAATAATACAACCACAACGGGAAAACATCTGATATTTGTTGAATTGTCTTATTTTTTATAGGTTTGTTAACCCACGTTCAATGAGCTGTAGATGCCGACCATCTGTGGTCAGAGATGCCCTGAATAAAGTGAGGCATTCAATATCCGAGGACATCAGAGACGAGCTAAGAGCAATGAATGTTGTACATTTTTTCGACCTCCCTCCATATCCGCAAGAGAATGTTTTGACACTACAGATCTTGCAATGTTGACGGCAATATAAAATGGTTTTCAAAATTGGAGGGAAGGAGTTGCGGCTGTTGCCCGATGAAGTTGCCCTGCTAATTGGCATGCTAAACAGAGGTGCAGTGCCAAAGTGGAGCAAACATCTGTCTTGTGGCGTGGATGCCTAACAGATGAGGAACAATGAAGAACATAGAGACATTTGCCTCATTTAATTGGCCTATTGCGATCTGTGATTTTCTTATAGAACAAATCAATTCAGTGACCATCAAATTATTGAGGAACAAGCCAATTGGATACATAAATGAGTTTCTTTATTTGCTCACGGTCAGCATATTGTAGATTTTGAGCATGGTTAATGTTTACTAATAATCTTTTATGCTCAATATTGAAACCAGCCTTACCACAAACAAAGTCCTTTGTCTTCAGCTTTTTTGAATTCGGCCAGAAACCACTGTGTTTCTTTCGCACAGTAAATCCAATATGGCGTGCATATAAACAATACTGTTCATATGCTTCATTCTCGTTGTGGACAACTACATTAAGGAATTTCTCTGTATCGGGTGACTGCAGATTTAAACATCATAGATACAATGTTACAATACATAAATAACAAGATAATAATATCATAATAATACTATTAAATGAAGTTAAGCTATGTTACTGGCCTCCTAAAATAAAATCAATTCAGCAGATCCAACATTACCTTAATAACACTGCGATACTACCACAATAACACCAAATCCCGCGTCCGTAACGTTACATTATGATACTGTCACATGAATAACATTGTGATACTACAAAAATAACACCAAATCTCCACGACAGTAACGATGCATTATTATACTACCAAAATAACATCAGACCACAACTTATATTATACCGAACAACCAAAAATGGAAAACAACTACAAAAACAACCAGTGTATCACCGTGATAATACCTAAGTAACACCAAATCCACATGAAAGAAACGTTACATTGTGATACTACCAAAATAACACTGTGATACGACCAAAATAA